GTCAATGAGAGGTGCCATCGTAAGCACATAATTACAACTTATCAAAGGGACAAATAAAGGCAATCCCTTTAATCGTCTTCTGTTCAACCGTTGTGGCATCATTCTTCCCTCTTATTTTTTGTTCTAACTTTTAGTGCCGCATCTCCTTCTTTTAGTCCCACTTTATATGTCTCATCCAATATCCCCTAAGAGTGTGTCGCTGCAAGTGGGCTTAGTGAAGCCTTTGGGCTCACCACTCTCATCTCTGTTGGACTAGTTGGAGGATAATTTCAAAATGTCACCCCAGCAGCCAACAGTAATTATGCTATATTTGAATGATTACTTTGCAATTTGGTCGCATAGATTTAAAAAATTAGACGATTTCCTGATCTTAATTAACGAAATGGATGAAAAAGTCAAATTTATCATAAAATGTGGAAGAGAACGGACGCTTACCGTTTTTAGTTGTGGAGGTAATTCACTCCGAGGAAACTCAAGAAAAAAATTTTCCGCTAGCAATCGCATGCTAAAATAACTTTTAACTTTCAACTGAACCATACTTATGGGAGGAAGATTGGAATAGTCCGAAATATGATCATAAGAAGCTTACGACTCACTGATTCTGAGTCCAGGAAAGAGGAACTGTGAAAACTAATTCAGAATTGTCTTAGTAACGGATATCCACAAGATACAATACAACGCAACATACAGATGGTGATGAACAGATGGAAGAACTGGGAGTATGAAAGGAAGGCAAGAGGAGCAGAGGAAAAACTATGGATATGTCTACGCTCCTGCGAATCGGCTCGGGAACTACAGCCAATGCTAGGGAACTAGAACATTCGTACAATCCTGAAGGAAAGAACAACCCTCTTCACCAGATTGCCCATACAACATGAAGAAGTAAACAAAATGGAGTGCTCCGGACTGTGAGCAAAAATACATTGGAGACGCGGGATAGACAATCAGTACAAGGATCTAATAACACCAGCGACTATGCAGAAAAATTGATACGGAAAGATCGGAGATAGCTGAACCCATCGCCATTACCGGCCACACAATTGTCTGGAATGCAAGTGAAAGCTGGCCGCACATGAGGACAACACCAGGAAACGAAAAATCAGGGAGACTGTGGACATCCTCTTTTAATGAAACCTGATGAACAGGAGCTTGGAAGAGGGAAGAATCAGCGATAATTACTCGTACTGCCTGAGCAGACTTGAGATTCAACAAATACAACAAACAGAAGACGCCTGGACCAAGGACAACTGTTCAGCAACAGGAAGAGACATCGCCAAGCTTCGGTTCATGAGGAAGAAAGGGAAATCAAGAAAAGGCGACTGTAGTGAGAGGAGTCAGACATGAAATTGGCCAAAAAATTTACCTGTGACATGTACGCGATGAAATTAAAGGCCATAAATGTTGGT